AAATCAGATATGGTTATTTGTTGTACAAAGCTGTTATTTTGACCCCTAATTATTGAACTAAGGTAAAATGACACTTTTGTAACCGCTCACTTACCACATCTCACCTACCGCTCACCTACCTCTCACTTACCACTCTCTTGCTTCTATAAAAAGAGAGGGTGTGAGGCTTAGGAGAGCAAAAGAAAAGATCTTAAGCTACCACAAAGGAGGAGAGAATAGCTAGAGAGCTAGAGAGGAGAGCATCTTGAGGCCTTGTATCAAGGTGTCGCTTGAGAGGGAGACCATAGAATAAAGATGAGGGCTCATCTCTATGTATAAGCTATGTATTCTCCATTTCTTTTGCCTTAGTGAATTATTTGATTGATTCCCTCCCATGGACGTAGATCTAGTTGGATCGAACCACGTAAACGATCTGTGTTTGCTTGTGTTCATTGCGTTTCATTTCTATGCCAGGAAGTACATATCTCACAACAATTGACGCCGTCTGTGGGAAGATCCATACTACTTGGATAGAGGTGTTCGCTTAAAAGTGTTCGCGGCCATCGACGAAGAAGAGGAGTTCGACATTTACGAACAGAGGAGCAAGCGGATCGCGTCGCAGGTAGCCGAATCACGACAGATTCAGTGAGCAGTGGAAGGTTTGATCGACTGGGTTGACCCTGAGACGAAGGAGGAACAATCCACCAGCAAGGACCGAAAATTTGCGACAGCGCTGCCAACAGAGGATTTCGGAGCAGGAGTTCGGTCTTGCGAGCAGCTCGGTTAGAGGGAAGAGGCGGAGATCGCACAGAGAAGAGTTCGGGGAGTTCTTTGTTCGGTAGTTCACGAAGCAGGAAGACTTGAGCAGTTTGGCGAGACGCGACAGCTTTGGAGAGACAATTATTCTCGTGCGAGAGGCAGAGGTTGTATTCCTGATTTGCTCCTGCTGGACGCAGAGGAGTGCCTGCTGGAAGGAGGCGCGAGCACAAAACAGGAAGGTTTGGTCGGGGAAGTTTTGTTCGGTGAACAGGTTTGATCTCTGCCAGAAGGGATCAAAGCTTTCCGTTCGGTTGGCGAAGGCAGTGGAGTTCACGGGGAGAAGATAAAAAATTTGGTGAGAATTTCTTGGACATAAAGGCATTAAAAGGCAGGTTTAGGCTGAAAACTTTTGGTTGTTATACAATAGTACAACATTTTGGTGATTTCAACCTAGTTCTTGGAAGGGCAGCAGGTAGAATTCATTGTAAGAAATCCTAGCCACGATAATGAGTTCCGCCAAATTCGACGTTGAGAAATACAGCGGGAAGAACAACTTCGGCCTATGGAAAGTAAAGATGAGAGCTTTATTGGTTCAACAGAGTGTTGCAGAAGCCTTGCAAGGGTCAGAGGCATTGCCGACCGACATGACCGAGAAGGAGAAGATCAGCATATTGGACAAGGCCCACAGTTTGATAATCCTGAGCTTGGGCGACAATGTTCTGAGGAGAGGTGTTCAGGGAGACAACGACTCAAGCACTTTGGGCCAAATTCGAGGTACTCTACCTGACAAAGTCTAGAGCTACGAGCATTTCAAGGATGTGATGCTCTATGGAAGGGTGCAGACTATTACTCTGGAGGAGGTTCAATCTCTGATTAGAGCCAAAGAACTTCAGAGGAAGCATGACATGGACAAGAAAGTCAGCGGAGACAGTCTTATTGTCAGAGGAAGATCAGATATGAAAGATTCATGAAATGGTCAGTACAGATCAAGGTCAAGTAAGAATGGAGGGAATCAGTCATCAAGGGGATCTTTCAAGTGCTATCATTGTCACAAGGACAGTCATTTCAAGAGGAATTGCCCAGACAGGAAGAATAAGTGTCAATAAAAGCCAGAAGAATCAGGAGAAGCAAACGTAACCTTTGATGACTACGATTCTGTTGAGGCCCTGGTGATCACAGAATCTGAATCCAGTAAGGAGTGGATCCTCGACTCAGGGTGTTTTTTCCACATGTGTCATCACAAAAGCTGGTTCGAGACACTGCAACAGGAAAATGATGGGTCTGTTCTACTGGGAGACAATAAAGCCTACAGGGTTGTTGGAAGTGAATCAGTCAGGATAAGGATGTTTGATAGAGTTGAACGAGTACTGAAAAATATCAGGTACGTACCAGAGCTCAAAAAAAATCTGATTTCTTTAGGTACGTTGGAGTCAAGAGGATGCTCGTTCAAGGCAGAGAATGGTTGCATCAAAGTAACCAAAGGCCCTCGTGTCAGGAAAAAGGGGTTGGTGTCGTCATACAAGGAGTCAGGAAAAAGGGGTTGTACTCTCTTATCGGAAGAACCGTGATTGCTAAGTTCATGTACTGTTTAAACTTAGTAAACTCAAGCAAGGTCTGAGGGCCCCTCAAGGGCCAGGTGGAGGGAATCTTTACTTCGAAGCTTCTCAATTGAGGGTCAAAGTGGAGAATTGTTATTTTGACCCCCAATTATTGAGCTAAGGTAAAAGAGCACTTTTGTAATGTGGTACCGCTCACCTACCACATCTCACCTACCGCTCACCTATCTCCCACCTACCACTCTCTTGCTTCTATAAATAGAGAGGGTGTGACTTAGGAGAGCAAGGGAAGAGAGATCTTAAGCTACCACAAAGGAGGAGAGAATAGCTAGAGAGCTAGAGGGCTAGAGCGGAGGAGAGCATCTGGAGGCCTTTTATCAATGTGTCGCTTGAGAGGGAGGCCATTGAAGGAAGATGAGGGCTCATCTCTATGTATAAGCTATGTATTCTCTATTTCTTTTGCCTTAGTGAACTATTTTTTTTATTTCCTCCCGTGGACGTAGATCCAGTTGGATCGAACCATGTAAACGATATGTGTTTGCTTGTGTTCTTTGTGTTTCATTTCTATGCCAGGAAGTACAAATCTCACAACAAAAGCATTTTGCATTTTAATGCAGCTTTGAAATAAATATATTTATACTTTTTATTTGAAAGGGCACATTTACATATATACCACACAATTCTTATGTATTTACATATATCTGACATCTAAATTTTACTCTTTTATTTTTATGTATATCATCCAAATCTTTCATCACATAAAAACAACATTGTTTAATCTTTTTACTATTGAAATAAACATGCTCATGCATACATTTAAATATGGTTGCATATTTATATGCAAACTGCAAGTCTAGCTGTTAGATATGTAAATACATGGAAATTAAATGGTATGCATGTAAATTTTCCTTATCTAAGATGATAATTTTGAAGCACTTGTTGACTAAAGAGATAAGAAGCAAATGACACTTGCGTTGAATATTTATATTCCATGTTGTTTTATCTGAAGGCTAGTTGCAAAATAAGCCATAATCTTGCTGCAAAGTTGGATGCAACATGCATGAAATGGGACCATTTTTTTATGGAGAGAAAGGAACAAACTTTATCTTAATACCTTGATTTTTTATAACAGTTTATTAAAAAAAAAGGGCCTGAAAGTTACATGCTACACATTTCTTATATATTTACATATTTTCATTGGCCACGAATAATGAGGGGTGGCGTTGTGTACTCAGATTAGTTGGTCGAACATCTGCTTATCAGTTGTAAGTCTCTTCTGGTCTGGGATTCGATTCCTCCCGGCGGAGGGCGTGGTACTCGAATTGTTAGGCGTATCAGGAATGACCGAGGCTCGTACAATAGCCTCAGGTCATTCTTTTATATAATATATATATAACATTTTCAAATCTCAATTAGATCCAAACATATGTATGAGAATGTGTAATTCATTTTTTAAAAGTTAATATTAGTGCTATTTTTATATGATTTTAAAAATTTGAATATTATATAAATAAATATTAAGATTGGATTTATAAATACATAAGAATTACGAGTTCTGTATGTAAATTTGTCAGAAAAAATAATTTGTCTTAAAGCTTGAGACTTATTTATGAATATGAGAGATAAAACTTGTCATGTTGAATTTTGTGTTTCTATCAGAATTTATCTATTTTTAAGAATAATTCTCAATTTAGAGTTTTTTTTTGGAATTTGTGCGCTCTGAAAGGACCAAAGTTAAATTTGGAAATTGTTAGGCCCTTCAATGAAGGATTTGAAGTTTTTAATTCTAATTCGAGGGTTGATTTGGGCTTAATTGCACTCAAATTGGGCAAATTTAGTGGCATTAGAGTTTTTAATTCTAATTTGAGGTTAAGATTCAATGTTTTGAGATTCATATATATATATTATATATATATATATTTGTGTGTGTGCCGCGCACCCTGACTTGTTGGTTGGCATCCATGGTATAAGACTTCTCAGGTCAGAGGTTTGAATCTCCTCTGCCATAGTTGGCCTTAAGGAATTGATATTCGAATTGTTGGGCATATTAGAGGTGGCTGGAGGCTCGTATAATGACATCTGACCATCCACCATATTACTAGTAGTCAAACTTAGGGGAGATGAACCTTAATCGTAGGGCAGATGAATCTTTATTATTGAGCTAGTACTGGCTGCAGAGCCTTCTTGTATGAGTCAAATGATTTTATTTTGAGATTCTTTCATCCTATGAACCAGGTCTCTTAAGGGCAGACCTGTTGCATCTTTGTCAATAGGGTATTGCCTACCAAGGAAAAAATATGCAATGGCTTGATGCTCTTGATTTAGAGATTGATTCCTAAAATGGTGAGCT